CCCTCAGGGCATCTCAAGGTCAGTTTAGCCTGTGGAGTAATTTAGAGCAGCTTCAGAGATGCTCTAAAGCAGTGTATCCCAAACTTGGGACTCTGCTTGTGTAGGGAAAGCCCCTGTTGGGCCGGGCTGGTTTGTTTACCTGCTGCGTCCACAGGTTTGGTGGATTGCGGCTCCCACTGGCCGCGGTTCGCTGCTCCAGGCCAATGAGAGCTGCTGGAAGCGGCGCGGGCCGAGGGACGTACTGGCCGCAGCTTCCTGCAGCTCCCATTGGTCTGGAGCGGTGAACCGCGGCCAGTGGGAGCCACAATCGGTCGGACCTGCGGGCGTGGCAGGTAAACAAACCGGCCCAGCCTGCCAGGGGCTTTCCCTACACAAGCAGCGTCCCAAGTTTGGGAAACACTGCTCTAAAGTACACCAGAAACAACATCTTTCTAGGGCAGGGGACTGGACTCGTGACTTCCTGAGGTCCCTTCCAGTCCTAGAATCTATGAATAGGGGTCACTGAGCTGGGCAGGATTACTGAAGCACAATGTGCTCTGGATATACTCCCTCAGTCCCTACCATGTACATGACACCAACATACATGGCACCTGTAGGACAAGGAGTAATTGGCTTCATCTGCAGCACGGGAGATTTAGGTTAGATATTAGGAAAAATGTTTATAAAGATAGTTGTGTACTGGAAAGGGTTAGCAAGGGAGATTCTGTAATACCCATCATTGGAGGTATTTAAGAACAGGCTAGACAAACACCTGTCAGGGATGATCTAGGTATGATGATCTGCAGCAAGAAGGGATGACCTCTGTAGGTCGCTTCCAGCCCTATATTTCGATGATTCTATGACACACATTGTGAAGAGAGGGCTCTGCCAGCTATATGCTGCCCAAGGATTCCCCCGGTGCAAAGAGAATCCCCAGCTGTCCACAAACTGAGCAGCACAAGGTGCTTTTGGGGGATGAGGGAAACTGACAATTTCTTTAAGGCACTGTTTTGTTCTTGTTGTCTAACCTTTAGGAAAAGAAAAACACCACAAATTGCCAGTGTGTAGTTCTCTTATTTGTATGTTATGTGTATAATGCAATACAGTCCAGAAAGCAACTTAGTACCAGTTGTTGGGGAGGAGGAGCAATCTTGCATCCTACCTTCCATTGAAAGGGAGAGAAGTAGAGATACAATGGAAATGTGTACGTTTTTGGTCTGTGTGTCTATGTTGTATACACCCATGCCTATGCCTGAGCCATTTAACAACAAAAGACTTGCAGTCAAAAATACACCTTAAAATGCTGATATCATCCTTGTCTAGATGTTCACAATCAGGCATTGTCACAAGGGATAACACAGTAAAAACCCAGATAAGATATCCATACAAATGGAAGATGCTGGGTGGACAATAAACGGCATTCAAAGTTCCTTTACTTTACTGAGGAAGAAGGTGGGGGATAAGACAACAGTAACATAAATGCTTTGTGATATATTAGAGAGGCAATGAAAAACCCATGCAACGTTTGTATTGTTATATTGAAGAGAATCCACCTCTGTTGCTTGAATGTACTGAGAACTGGAAACGGATGGGCCTAACCAGGTCACATCCGATAATTTTCCTACAGTCTCACAAGCCAGCACCAATCCAAATTAATTGGAATTGGTCTGGCTTGAATGAACCTGTATTCTCAGACTCAGTCAGAAAGACTCCCCATCACTTTTTCTCTTCACTGTTTCTGACTGAGGGTAGGTCTACACTTACCCGGTAGTTCGGCGGCGAGCAATCGAACTTCTGGGTTCGACTTATCGCGTCTTGTCTGGACGCGATAAGTTCAACCCGGAAGTGCTCGCCGTCGACTGCAGTACTCCAGCTAGACGAGAGGAGTACCGCGGAGTCAACGGGGGAGCCTGCCTGCCGCGTGTGGACCGAGGTAAGTTCGAACTAAGATACTTCGAACTTCAGCTACGTTATTCACGTAGCTGAAGTTGCGTACCTTAGTTCGAATTAGGGGGTTAGTGTAGACCTGGCCTAAGAGACATGAGACTCTCTTTGAAGTTTGCATTTGCTCTTTGCGTGAAACTTTTATAACACTATGGTAGCAACAGCTTTTGAATCACAAAGACTCTTGCTTTCCATTTTCAGCCAATAAGGTGCAAGTTCTTGTTGCCCAATCCCCACCTTCATCCAAGGAACAGGTCTGAGTAATCTATTGAAAGGAGAAAATTAACGATTAGAAGGTAAGCAAGGACTGAAGTAAAACAGGCATATTCATGTGGCAGGAACTGATTCATTTTTATACCAAAAGAAGATTTCAGATGGGAGTTCTCACCGTCTTGGAATTATCGCAATGGCTGATGCTTGATTCACTGCAAAGACAAGTACATAATTTATTCACTGTTTAGTATTATTATTAGTTCACTCTGGGATCAAATGGGAAAAAAAGTTGGGTTCTCAAGGAGAAAGCCCCAAATTTAGACACAATTAGAGCAAGAGTAAAATATCAGGGCAAGTGGATTCATGTTCAAGTTGGATTTTCCCCAGTGCAAAAGTTTATCTTTAATCCCCAGCCCAGCCACAAAGCTTTACTTGACCATTTCTTGTTCTATTCAATAAAGCATATATTGTTACCATAGCAACAGCTGCATCATTTATACATCAAATTATTTTATCAGTTCAGCCCCTTGAGATTTAGCATTTCACGTGTAAGGGATCCTATAATACACATTAGTTATGTTACCTCTACCTTCTGATGGGCTGAGTAATTTTTTTGTGCTATTCGTATTTTACAGTGCATTGAAACATCTCCTTGCATTTTATTTGAATATTTTAGGATGTTGCAAGGCAATAATACAAAGATGCAAAAATAGCTCTTGGCATGTAATAGGGGCACAACTTACATGCATTACAATCTTTTCTTTGGCAGCTGTCATTCCAGTCTAGATTGTGAGACCCTCACTCACGTCAGTCTCATACCTTTGCTGGCCCATCAAAATCAAGAAGCAAGAAATGGCATAACTAACGTGTACTACAGAAATCAATGGAACTGCTTGGGAGCACAGTTCTACTCAATGTGAGTTAAGGTTGCACAATTTAGACCTCTAGTAAGTGTTACTACTATTGCTACTTTGAACAAACTTTATTAAGTAGTTTTGACTTATTTAAATGCATTCTTTGAAATGGCAATACTACTACTAATATAATTCATTCTTTCTTTGACTATGTGATTTGTCCTATCCTGGGTATCATGAAGGGTTACTCTTGCCCCAGCTAGCATTCATTCAGATACTCAGTTAAATCTTCCAATGGAGATCCTCAGATTTCACTTTATGTGTCTGCAGGTAATACACAGAGGGCTTCCCAGATAATGACAAAGTTGTATGTAGGTAGAGATAGCAACAAAACTAGATCTATGCATCAAGACTCAAAGCCTTTCTAACTTCTGGACGGTTTGATGCATTCACTGAAGTCTGGCCAACATGACCTGAGGGTATTTGCATTGATGAGAAGCTTCCAAACTTTCTGCCTCCCTTTCTTCCTCTCTCTATCCTCAACAAGTCCTGGAACTACCTCTGAAGACATTTAAGGTAAGAAAGGGAGCATTAATTTTTGTTGTGGGCAATAAGTTAATCTATTTAGTTATATCTAGGATGTAGTATCTAGTATTGTAGCACCGGAGCACAAAACACAGTCATTTTGCAAAGAGATTTCTATAGGAAATCTACCTCTTCCTTAGGAAGCTTTGCCCCTGTCTCTCTCTTTTTTTCTTTCATTTTTGCTATTCTCATTCCTTGTCTTTGGTTATTGCTAAAAAGCTTTTGTAAAACCTGAGTATGGAGAATGGTTTGTTTGGATTCAGTCTTATCCCTTCCAGTACTTTTGTTCCACAGTTGAGGACACAGAAACCAAGAACGCCTTAGCTCTGGCTCCTGTGAGTTTTGTCTAGCCGCCTGCAGGTGCATCATCCCAGAGAAGCACAGCTGTTGCTAGAGGACACTCTCTGATGTAGCCGGGTCTCAGCCCATTTGTGTCATATGATATTTTCTCTTTGTCTTTTCCTGCTCAGAAGGAAAGCTGCTGCATTCTGCATGAGTGAGTTTAGTAACTTCCATCTTCAGCTCTGGATACTGAGAACTGCTAAGGCCCAGCCTAGAAATGATGAACACACAGATCATTGTGGCCAGGTCCTCATCTAAGAGTAAGTAGTGTAGTTTCCTGTCAAACTATCGGAGGAGGAAATAATTCTTGCCACTGTTGCTTCCTTGATATCCAAGATCAGTGGTGAGTCCAACAAGACCCCATGGCTTTGTGACTGATGTTCAAGTTCAGTGAAAAACAAATGCAGGGCTTAGTTAGTAAATTCCTTCACACACTAAGACATGCAGGGTTTGTACTGTCTAAAACCACATGGAACTCACCTGTCTCCAGATTTCATCACAAACCCCAAACTCAGGGTAGGTTCACTGAAATATTCACTGATGTTCATAAATCTTTCAAATGAACTGAAGCCGAACCATCACCCACGGTAGATTCTTATGGTTTTGACATTAAGATCAGGCAAAATACACAGCAGATTTTAGAATGAGTTAGGCTTTGAGATATAGGGTATGTCTGATCTATCGGGGATCGATTTATCGCGTCTAGTGTAGATGTGCTAAAATCGATCCCCGATCGCTCTGCCGTTGACTCCGGAACTCCACCATGGCGAGAGGCGGAAGCGGAGTTGACGGGGGAGTGGCAGCGGTCGACTCGCCGCCGTCCTCACGGCCAGGTAAATCGACCTAAGATACGCCAACTTCAGCTACCCTATTTGCGTAACTGAAGTTGCATATCTTAGGTTCACTCCCCCCCCCAGTATAGATCTAGCCATAGAGTCCATTCTAAACATGAAAATCGGAGTAAAATGGGGAAGAGTGTGATCCTCATGCATAGAAACCAAAGATAATGTGTTTCAGAAATTTGAAGGCTAGAAGACCCCATTATGATAATCTAGTCTGAACTCTTGCATATCTTGGAACACAGAAATACAACCAGTAATTTGTGCATCAAGCACATAACTTCTGGTGGAGTTATTAGCTCATCTCTTTTAGAAAGATATTTACTCTTGAGTCATAGATCCCTGTGAACATCAAGTTTCACATTTTTCCAGGTTCAAGTAAGTGTGTTTGGAGGCTAACCTTAGAGATTTAAATGTCAATGTGGGAAATCTGTCCTTGCATATGGCTGATGTAGGTATGCAACTGAGGAGAAAGCCAACAGTAGATTGAGATAGAGAAAATCTTATGGTATCCTCAGCAAAATGTCTCGCATTTGTGTCCGGGGCTTTCATGGGGATTGTTTTTACTGTTGTTCTTTTGTGCTTTTGGAGCCACTATTTGGTTTATCTGTAGACTCAGTTAACTGGTGCAGATTCCAGTGGGAAAGACTTTAGGGGCAGATTCTTCACTGGGGATGATTAGGCTGGTGGGCACCTGTGACTACTGAGACCACTGTTGTGGCTAATTTGTGCACACAAACCTGTCCCATTGAAATGAATGTTACTTATGCTCTTAAGTCATTTAGGTGTTTATGAAAATTATACTCTTAGAAACCTAAATGTGGACTTAGGAGAGACTAACTTTAGGCTCCTATTTTTGACAATTTTGGATTGTGTGTTTTCTGGGGCAGGGACTGTCTTATTTGTTGGTACAGTGCCTACGCCGGTAAGCCCTGATCCCTGATTGGGGTCCTTAGGCACTACTTCAATAGAAATAGTAAATAATAATGGAGCTAATTGGCAGAGCTTTGTTAACTTCAGATGCCAATTCACACCAGTTGAGATTCTGGCCCTGTGTTTTTATTCGTCATCTGGCATGATGATCTCACTAAAACTTGTAGATGTGAAGTACAGGAATGAAATGTGACTTGGGAGATGGTGTTGCCTAGTGGACAGAGCACTGTAGTGGGATTCAGCAGATCTGAGGTCTATTCATGGCTTCACCACTTGTGTGTTGGCTGACCTGAGACCAGTCACTTTAATCTCTCTATGCCTCAGTTTTCACATCTGTAAAGTGGGGATAAATGATACTTACCTCTTTGGTAAAGGGTTTTGAGATCGACTAATGAAAAGTGCTATAAAAGAGGTCAATATTATTATTGCAATCCTTAGAGCATGAAGAGGATGGGCTTCTGATGGAGATGATGCATTTAAACAATGGGGATATACATGCGTGTGTGTACACAGACATGGATCTCTATTTGCTTTTGTTTCCAGAGACTGGAGTCCAGGTTTGCTGTCGTGGAGACCAGAGAAGAAGTAACCAAAGAAAGGAAAAGAAACACTGAGGAATAAAAGTACATTTGAAATGGAAGAAATCTACATTTCAATGAAAATACTTTTAAGCCATTTCAGATGACTGAGTGAAATAATTACAAAGTTTGGAAATAGAGAACAGTAGCTTTGATATCTTTTTCTTCTGTGAAGCAATTAAAATAAGCAATTTTTCAAATACTAAGCAGAAAATTGCTAATGGTTGAACCCAAAAGCTTTCATTTCGTTCTTGGGGTCTTTTTTCTTCTAAAAAAAGACCAAAAAATATTAAGGTGGTTTTCTAGATAGATTAATGCATAAAGCAGTTGTTAGTTGGATGTCATAAAAACTACAGCAGCACAGAATAGCCGAGATTAAGAGCCAGATTTAAATCATGCAACAGTCCAGTTAATATCAATGTATAATTAAGAAAAGCATAAGAAGTCTGTAATGGTGATTTGATGGAAAAAACCTCTAATAGGGTTTCTTTTGGAATTTTCCATTTCAATCACTCTTGTAGATATTTAATGGATTTTCTACCCTGTCTTTGGCATTCGCGGGAATTATCTAAAAGTTAAAATCAAGCCCTAAAATGGAACACAGGTAGACAAATAAGCCCATCTGGAGAGCAGTCTTTATAGAATGACAATGTGATCTCATGCTGAAAATTTAGTACAAATATCTTAAATCTGGTGTGAAAACCCTATTTGCCATATAATCTTAAGCAATGTAAAACTAACCCATTTCCTCACCTTTCTAATCCTGCTGAAATTCCTAACAATTCAGAAATACTAAACTATGGGCTTTTGGCAGGGGCATCCTCACCAATGAATCACATTTCCCCCCACTTTAGGCAACCAGTGGGCCCAAGCCATGCTGAAAAATCTGATCTTTTCTCCTAGGCTGTGTGTGAACAGGTAGGTGTGGTGGGTAAAGATCCTTTTAAATGGTTGCTCAAGACAGAGCACTGGTGATGCTCAGCGCAGCTTTCAATGTAGTTATGCAATTCTTTGAAACAAAGTCAGTTAACTGAGTCTTTTCTAGCAACTGTTCCTAACAGAGGTAAGCTACGCTGATAAAACGTGCAAAAGGGGCTTCCAAACTTGTCCGACACACATGGCAGATAGACCCCAAATGGGTGAGGAAACTTTCTCCACTCCTACATAAAAGCCATTCATCTTTAGAGCTCACTATAATTGTGTTCCAGCCCTCTCACATGGAACCCAAATGAGAAGATTGAAATACACCAATACATCAGTTACCTAAGTCTAACATATACATAGAAAAGATAGCATGTCCTTTACTAAAGTCCATTGCAATTGAAATTGCTTGAAGATGAGTAGGTGGACCAGGGGATAGATAATGGGATACAGATTTTCTCATTTCTAGGTCTCTAATCAAGTGCAGCTAGACAGTGACGCAAAAAGTAATTATCTATCTGATGAAAGGGAGAGGTAACACTGTTGGACTTATGGGTATATGCCCTTGGATGTGAAATCTGAGAGTTGAATGGAAATATCTGTCAAGAGACCTGCAAGGCCTAGTTTGGGTATAAGAGGGAAGAAAAAGCATTTTAACATTAGGTAAATTTAGTGCCATGAAAGATCCTAGGGACAATGGGAGTGAAGTCCTCTATCTTATGATAAACTATTCAGATCTGTCCTATCTGACTGCCTCCTGCTGTCATCCTCCCATTATCCCTCCCCTTTGTTCCCTCCCCACCTCTTCCCTTTATCTATATTGTCCTTGCCTCTTCTACTCCCGTGCCTCCAATTCCTTTTAGCATCATATACCCTCCCACACTCAAGTATAGACAATATTTTTTGCAACACACGTCTCCATTTCCATCTTTGTATACACGTATATGCAGTAGACTGCAAAAGGCAGTGAAGACTCAGACCCAATAGACATCTATGCATCTGTCTCTTGATACATATATACAGATCTTGAAGGTTCCACTGGAATATGTAGTGGAACCTTCAAGATGAATGTAACAACAACTAAGTATCCATGCTCACCATATGCCCAGCTCATCATTTGTTTTTGCCTCTCATTGCACCGTTTGTCTATATTTCAGACTCCTCAGGGCAAGGACCGTCTCTTACAATGTGTTGGTATAGCACTTAGCCCAATGGGGTCCTGGTCCATGAAATGGGACTCCGATCCTGACTGGGGGCTTTGGGTGCCCTCATAATAGAAATAAATAATATGATTGGTAAAGGGGAACTCTCCATTTTCTTTGGCGGGAGAGCCTATAGACTGGTGTTTGTGTAATTGGAAATTTGAATACAAATATCAATACACATTTTTAAAAGCACATGTTGAAATTTTGGGAGGCACCTGCTAAATTGAAAACCAAAATAAATAAAAACCGAATATCTACAGAATAAGCTCAGCAATATAATCTTCCAGCTTCACCCCACCAATGCTCCTCTATATTGTCCTGGAGAAACCAACTTAAGGGATGAAGGTAAAATTCCATTTCCACATCCAGGGAGAAATTATCCCCATCATCAACATTGGCACCCTAGCTGGTTCCCTTGGCAGAGATGTTAGGTTCACCTACATCATTTTACCTTTTAGAAAAAGGATAGAATAGCCCTACCAGTTTCAGCTTCCATCTGGGAATACTCCCATGCAACTTCTACTCCATAGTCCCAGGCAGGCTGGAGTGATTGCCACCACATGATCACTGTACAGCTGGCAGGAAGAGATGAAACTGCTCATTTCCATCTGTGACATTTCTCAGCCAGGAAGAAAGCTACAAGGCATCAAACTGTAGGCTGAGAGGCATCAGTGCGGCCACCTGTTAGAGATACTGATAAAGAGAAAACTTGGTAAAATGTAGAGCTGTGAAGAACTGCTAGGAATAAAATAAACTGATAAAGAGGAAGTGATGGTGCCTCCTTACCACCAACCACCATTTACAGCTCCCATCTCAGGTCAGAACCCAGGAGGACAGAAACAAATACAAGCCTCTATGTGAAACAGATTACAAGAGACACATTGGAGGTGTGGATAGCACAGATCAGCTGCTAGAGGCATAAGACACAATATCTTGTACTGTTAAAAATGGTGGGGGAAAATGGAAATCCATATGGCCCAATTAGCAATGCACAATGCTTTTGCTATAAACCAGAAAATAGCACCTGAAAGGCTGTTGTCATTTCTGGACTTGCAAACATATGTCATTTGCAGCCTGATATCTGTAAGTGCAGGCCTCCCTGCCTTTGAGGGGGAAAGTCACAGAACATTGAGTTTGCTACAAGGAAATCACATTTCCCGCCACACAATGTCGTAAATAGCAAGAGTCTGCCAAACCCAGATTCAAAGAGAAGGCGGAAAAATTCTTAGTTGATATAAGCCATCATAGCTCTATTGACTGGGGGCAAGGGGGAAAGAACAATTTCCAGCAGCTGAGGATCTGCCCCTGGAACTTAGACTAGTTTCTGTGGAGCTCCATGACATTGGATCAAATATTTGCCAACATAGGTTAAATTTGAATAGGTGCCCAGTTTTTCCCCGAGCAACATATTTGCCAGAGGAAAAGAGACTCCAGGAGGTAAGTTCCTCTTTTAATGTGCCTATGTAACTTACAGGAATGGGAACTGTATCAAGCGGAGAATCTATTCCTTGGGTACTTATTTCTTCCAGATTAAAGCAGATTTGTGGCTAATAAATTGTTGAGGTGTGAAGTGGATTTGCACCTCTCCCAAGATGTAGCTGGTCCAAGTGCCAGGGTATCACTTTTCCTTTTAGTGTTCAATAAAATTTTCACAGGCCTGGCGTTAGCTATAGGTATGAAATGCAAATTTATTTCACAGTTTTCTTGTTGCCTGCATGGAAGTGAAGTAAGCATATAAAGGGCCTGATTTTCAGCCCTGATGTCATTGCATGTGTTTGTGCGTCCATCTGCTCACCTACGTTGTCCACACAGCACCGCATATGTGTGCAAGTCTCCAATGACTGGGCATCCAGCCACATCTATGAAATTGTGGAATTTGTGCTCATGCACAGATGTGCATCAACGCCATGCCGGGCCTCAAACCAGAGCACTCAGAATCCTGACACTTGCGGAAGAAACTGATGGGTCAAGCAATATTCAAGTCATTCTATGGTGCTGATGATTCTCACAAATCATGATACGTTTGAAAGACAGCATGATTAGTACCCAGGGCACAAGACTGGAACTTGGGATATGTGGATGCTATTCCCAGCTCTGCCCCTGCCCTGCCGTATGCCCAGGGTAAGTCACTTCATCTCTCTCGGCCTCTGATTCTCCTCCTACCCTTTGCCTGTCTTATCTATTGAGGGTGAGATTTTGAAAAGTACCTGAGTGACTTAAGAGTCAGTGTGGCTTGTGCTCTTAATTCATCCAAGCACTTTTACCTCAGTCTTTGTGTGTTACATCTATTGAGATGGCAAGTTCCTTAGTACAAGAATGTGTTTGACTTTGTACAATGCCTAGCACAATGACCATTCTGAGATGGGACCTCTAGGTGCTAGTGTAATACAAATATTACTTTTTTTTAAAAAGTAGATTATATTTGGGTAGAATTTTATGACATCTACCATAATGACAGCTAAGGAACTTAATTCTTCATGCCTATATGCAGTACTTTATTATTCCATAACATGGACTGTTTTGCCAGTATTTATTCTGATGGTGTGTGTACACTACAATTTTAAAAAGGGTTAAGATGTCTCATATTATAGTATAATAATGGAGTTATACATTCAAATTCCTTATATTTTAAAAAACATACAGTAGGAATAGCTACCCTGAAAAGGCCACTGATTCATCTAATTTGTTAACCTGACTCTGGAAGTTGCCAATACTTGTGCCTCATTACTGGTAACACCTAGATTAATAGAGTTTAAGGTCTGAAGAGACTATCAGCTCATCTAGTCTGACATGTATAACACAGACCAGAGAATTGCATCATGACTGGAGCATGTCCTTCCAGCAAAGCATCCAATTTTGATTTGAAGACTTCATAAAATGGAGAATCCACCACTTCCCTTGGTAGTTTTTCCCCTCACTGGTAAAAATTTGTGTTCTATTTCTAATATGCATTTGTCTGGATATAATTCTAGCCATTGGTTCTTATTATGATTGTCTCCACTAGATTAAATACCCCTTAATACCCAGTATTTTCTCCCTGAGGAGGCATGTATACCTTCCACACTACATAATGTAGTAGGATGAATTATGCAATTCTATTGCACCGAGGAACACATTTAGTGCTAACCCAATGCTGGAACAACGTATGCTCCAAACGATGGGATTTGATATCCATGTAATTTTTTAATCTATACAGTGATATAGTACTTATATAAATATGTAACCCTTCCTTGAACACCTCTAAACTACTATTCTCTTCAACAATTTCCCACAGGAGTGAATCCCATAGGTTGTTCGCATGCTGATGTGGCTTTTTAAACTATTCTTGTCTATCCATTTTAAATATATGCCCTTATAATTTCTCAAGTTTCCAGCTGTGTTGAACTTGTAGGATATTTTGAAGCGATGTATCCAATCAGCGTTCACCACTATCATGTTACATTGCTCTATTAACTCTCTTCTTTGTTCAGGACTAAATCATTTTAGGCTTCTTAATTTCTATACACATAGAATATCAACCCCCCAGCCACAAAGCCACAGAGCTCTTTCCTATATCGTATATGTTGTTTTGGGGCTGCAGGGATAAAATGATCAAAACCGAAGGAGTATTTGAAGTGTAGATTCCCATCAAAATGTTTGGGCTAAGTCAGTGGAACTATGCTGATTTACTCCTTCTGAGGATCAGGTCCCAAAATGCCATCAATGTTTTTGGTATTGTTCAAATATCCCAAAGCAGCTTCCTTCCCACCCTTTTTAATTGAGACTTTACTGTTGCTTTTCTTGAGACCAAACAGGAATGTGCATCCAGAGTGTTTACCGTTAACGCTAATAGTGGTTTTAATACACTTTATTTGAAGATAAATATTCTGATATATTATAAAGTTTTCAGCTTGAGATGCCGCAGTTTTGTTTGAATGTAATTCAGATCTAGCATCTTATGTGGTGAGTTCATTCCAGACAAATGGTTAAAAAAATCCAGTGTGTCAGAACTTCAGGCATTGTACACTGGGGAAAGTCACTGGCAGAATGCATACTTTGGAGCATTTTTCCATTATCACATGGGATTCTTAGCCCTGAGATTGTTCTGCTTGAAACACGCATCTCCTTGGATATTGCATAATAGAGAGATCAGATTTCCAGTACTCTTAGGAATGACTTTCACAAGGATAGGAAGAAACATATTTCCCATTTTGGGAAATAGAAGAAGCCACTCTCAACAGAAAGAAAAGTTTAAGATTGCAAAAGAAACATCAGGTTGGAATGTTAGGGGAGTTATATATATCTGTAGCAATCAATGTGGTTTGTACATTATATCAGTGTAAATGGTTATTGAATTAAGAGATGTCTTTCCCCTGTAATTTACACTACAAATTCAGTGTAAAAATTCTGATATTTCATTGGACTAATTCCATTACCTTACTGAGTGATAGAAATTACATTTGTTTTCTTTAGGCTCTAAAATACAGACATAATAAACCAATAGAAAGAAATGAAAAAAAAAGAGAGTGATACTGATATTTTTTTAGGGATGAGAGAACTCAGAATATTTGGGTTAGGAAATCAGCTGAATATTTGTTATGGAATTTTGAAGAAAGCCAAACTTTTTGAAGTCTGTGTTCTGGGTTAGACTTCTGTTTGCAGTTCTGAGTTGTGTAATTAAAAGAAACATACAGAGAACTCACATGAATTTTAGTTTCTGCCAAAAGATGCATTGTTCATGATTGTTTTACTAATTTTTGCTTTAACCCATAAGATACTAATATTTTCCAGTCTGACAGCCAAACTAATGCTTAGGAAAGGTATGTATTTGTGGGTGTACATACATGCATTATGTCTGCCACATCTATCCCCAGTGAGACAATATGAGTAGTTGCTCAAATCTGGTCATTCTTTGAAGCCATGCATTAAAATCATCACACTTATATAGTACTCAGGTTACTAAAGCATTGAGAAAGAGTAGATTTTTCTATGAAATTGTTATTTAATATCTATTTGAAGTTTGAAGTATTTGAATCTCTCATTGAAAATGAAATTTATCCCAAATAAACCGGTTTCACCTGTATTTAAACGTTCTTCATATCCATTTAAGTCACTGTCCTTTGTCCATACCAAGAGTAGTTTTTCATGATGAAATACAAGTTTAAGATTGATCATCCACTGAAGAAAATGAAACATACATCTCGGTCTCTCTCTTTTTCCTGGTTGTGATGCTTTGGGGTTCAACCCAGATCAGCATGGGGCTCTGTCACTCTGGGTACCTTACATGCTATGCTGCAGGGCTCAAGGCCCTGACACCAACAGCTAGCATACAAGCATGCAGGTCATCCCCGGCTTTCACCACCCGGCTACTTTTTTTCCAGAGTGACCCCAACACCTTCCCCATCCCAAATTTCCACAAAATTGTCTGCCAATGTGAAAATCTGCTGAGGTTCCCAAAACTGTTAGCTACTGTGACCTCTCTCAGCCTTGGCAAGTGAGTGCTTTGCTACTGCTAAGCTGTGTGGCAACTTCCGGATGCATCAGCTTGGCTGCCTTGTCAGCAAACTCTCCAGGACTCTGCCAGTCCACACCTTACCTTGTAGGTAAGGAATAGTGAACCCCAACTCCCGATTTCCCCCAAGACATCTCCCTGCAGCCCTCTCCTGGAATACGCACTGAAGTTCATTGCTCCTTTAAAGAGACAATACACCGCA